TAAGATCCCAGTCGCTACTCGCCAAAGTAGGAGGTGGAACAATGTTTTGTGTAGTATGTTATGCCAATTGAGCTTGATGTCCCCTGTGACTATGGTCCTGAGCCCACAGGTTCAACTACTCAGTCCCTCTGGGTAGCTGGCTGTGACCAAGAAGTGAGTTTCAAGTACTCTTAATGATTTTCTGGTCCATCCTCCTTCACACGTTCCATTCAGTGTGTGGGGACAGAGTGGGAGGAGGGATGAAATGAGGAAGACTAGTGGTAACAGTCTTTGGACAATGGGCATGGGGAAAAGAATATGTTAATATTAATATATTTTTGGAACTTGCAGTGTTTTCTGTTTGCAAGTCCCTCACTCCATCTTTCTGAGCAAGGATTTTAAGATGCATATCTCTGTAAAATGCATTATCTAGAACGTGAAATGCTTGTTTATAATTATTAGCCTGTTGATCACCCTGTTATCCTTTGTGGTCAGCCAATTTCATGTTTGAACTTGTTTTCCTAGTCTTTAGTCTTGAGAGTTAAATATCAATCCTGTTTTCCATAGTACAGAATAACACACAGATAGACACATACAAAACATTAATTTGATGGCCCAGGAAATATGACATTTCTGAACATAATGGGAAGCTCTTTGGGTGCTTGTGCCAGCCCAGTGGCTTTGTCAACTCCAGTTCAATAATGGATAGTGGCCTCTTTCCTGTTCTCCTTTTGTTCAGGTGTTCAGATCCAATGTATCATTTCTATCCCTAAATTGCCATTGTGGCTTTATAATGCCTGATGTAGGAAGTTGTAAACTTTGTCCCCCAAAATTCAAGAATAACAAAAGTTTATGATCAGAAATGACATTTAATTGGAACTGAAGTTTTCTTTGGGAGAATAAAGTTCTTAGACATACAAGAGATACCCAGATAGTTCTGATTTTCTGCAGAGTTTTATAATCTAGGAAAAAATTAGTGGATAGCTGTTGAACTTACTTTAATAGATGCATGTTTCATTTGATAAATTCTTAGCATGCTGCTCTCTTAACAGAGTAAATCAAATGGAAACACATTTTGTAGCTGGGCTAGGTCTCAAGGCCTAGGTGATAGGACAGTGTGATGTAGTCATTCAATACGCAGGTATTTATTGAGGGCCAGCTGTGAGCACATACTTAGTTAGGCTAAAAAAAAAAAAAAAAAAAAAAGTAGAAAAGCACCCTGTCAAAGGTGGAAAACTTGTGAGATCTGGAAAAACCAGGTAGTCCTGTTGAGTTCCTGCTTTCACAGGTGCCACTGAGTTAATATACAGCTTGCCTTTGTTTTCAAATGATGCCTTGCATGTGTTTAAGGAATATGAAAAGTTTGTAAGAAAGCTATTCTGGAGATTTGTTAGGAATTAATGAGGATGCTTGTAACTGTCATGTGAGTTTTTAGTATTAGAAGAGTTTAGATGAAATTTCTACTTTTTCCTTAAGAAAGATGTTTTTTTTTTCCTCTCAGGAACAGGTTGATGTTATCTCCTAAGATCGCTTAGGAGACTATATGCTGGTCAGGGGTAAGACTGATTCTAGAGTCTATGTCTTTGGGCAGAGCCCCACTGTTCATGAATGAGAATAATTATGCTCCTTTCCAAAGTGTTTCTTTCTCCCAGCATGTATATTTCCAGTGGTTAATTACTCTATTAGCTGCTAAGCATATAGATGCCATTATTTGGATTAAGGGCAGATTTATATGATCACTATTATCTTTAACCTTGACTATTATTTATAGTGATAAAATAATAAAACACAGCAGTGAGCTGTGACAGCTAATCTAGTTTCCATTTCGAAGATAACGACTAGAGGAAAAGAGTGATATACGTGACTCTAAGGCTATTTCCCAGTGGTCTTATGAAAGATTATATTGCCTCAGCATAAATAATTTTGAGGTAAACCCTATTATCATTAAAACTCATTTTAGTAATCATTATAATGTATCTGTATTGAATTGTGAAAGGTGGTAGAAGCAATATAAATCCAAGTAAAGGTTGTGAGGTAGGAGGTGTGCAAGGGTGAGCTTAGTCTTGGGAGACCAGTATTCCCTTCTTATTCTACCTCTAACACATGTGACTTTGAATAATTTGCTGTACTTCTCTGAACCCCAATTTCCTCACCCACAAAACAACAAGGTTAACTAGGATGAGTGCCCATGCTCTGTGTATGTATATGTTTGTGCAGCACGTGGGTATGTACATGCATATTGGCTTGCTTTTCTGTTTGTCTTCTTGTTGAATTCAGTCTACCCTTCACCTTGAGATGGTGGCCTTTACCCTTCTGCAGTGGTACCCTCTCCTGCACTTGTCATTTCTGTCCTCAGCAGGGTGTCTTTCTCCTTCCTGTCTGACCTAACAGCCTGACATTTAACCTTGACTCTTCCCTCTTCAATTCTATCCTCAGAAACTGAGTTCTGGATGTGATTATTGCAATGATTGCCTAAGTGAGACTCTCCTTACTTCCATGTTCACAGCTGCTCTCTTCTACCCAAGTATCCCCATATTTTGCTTGTAGCCTTTCTAGACCGTGTGCATCCTCTAACTCAGATAAATTGATAGGTAGGTAGATAGCTGTCATGGAGTTGACTCTGACTCATGGTGACCTTATATACAACAAAATGAAATGTTGTCCACTACTGCATCATCCTCACAATGGCGGGCATTCTCAAGTCCGTCTTTGTGGTTGTTATGCCAAGTCCATCTGACGCCGGGTCTCACTCACCCTTTTTGGCCCACTATTTCATCAGAAGTGAAGTTCTCCTCTAGCAATTGATGCCTCCTTATGATGCATACAAAGCAAGTGAGTCAGAAAGTGTTCTGTCATGATCCACTTTTTTTTTTTTTTTTTAATCTTTTTTAAATTGTGATTTGGCTGAAAGTTTACAGAGCAAATTCATTTTCTATTCAGCAGTTTATGTACATTTTGTTTCGTGACATTGATTGCAATCCCCACAATGTAACAGCTCTCTTCCTCTCTGTGGTTACCTTTTCTCTCTGTCCTTTTTTCCTATGCATTCTAGCCTTCTGAGCTTTCTCCCTGCTTGTAAATGCTACCTTTCTCGTCTCCCATGGTTGATTGTTCTAAGGAGTATACCTACTTGGTGGTGTTGTTACCTTGTAGGCTTGTGTATTGTTTGGCTGGAAGTTAAGCCACAGGAATGAGTTCAATTCCAGGCCTGAAGGATGTCTAGGTGCCATAGTCTTGGGGGTTTCACCAGTCTCTGTCAGACCAATAAGCCTGACCATGTCTAGATCCATTGGGTTTTTGTTAACTAATTTCTAGAAGTAGTTCTGTAGGCCTTTTTTCAGTCTATAAGCACTGCTAAAACGTGTTCACCAGGGGTGACCCTGCTGGTATTTGAAATACTGGTGGCATAGCTTCCAGCATCATAGCTACACACAAGCCACCATAGTACCAATTAAATTACTGGTGGTGGGCATCTCTCTTAGACACTTATTTTTGCCCCCTGGCTTGCCTGTGTATGCCTTGAAGTCAGGGCCTATGTCATTTTGTCTTTCATTCATTAAGGCCTTGCTGTCTCAGTGATAACTCCATAAATAATTCTAGTCTTGAATTAGGAGAGTGTTAAATTCTATGGCTCAGTCTTTTCAAGGGCAGTCAAGGAAATGTGTGAAACATTTTCTAAAGATGCTTGTCTAAAATATAACTGTTAAGAACACGGAGTTTTCTGAGATTTCTGTGTAGCTGCAGAAATGTACAGCTCCAGGCAGAGGTCCTGAGACGTATATTTTGCCCACTGTGTGTGGCAGTTTGGCCAATAAATATTCACGAACAGAGGTTTGTGGGGCAGAGCCTTTGCTAGAGCTAATGATTTATTAAAAAATTTCTGGCATAAAAATGTAAGGGGAAAAGAAACCTTACAGTAAGCAGATAGAAAGCTGCTTTTGCGGTCAATGGTGAAGTATTTATTTTCTAAGAATGAATATTGACTTTGA